GAATTACCTCTTTCTGTGATATTATTGTCATGTTTAATGTCCCGTTACATTACTTTAGTTAATTAACGTTCGTTATAAACAATTTATTGAGTCGTAATTAAATTTACTTAGAGGCTGCTAATATTTGCTATAGGTTGTTGTCTTTAAGATAAAACTTGTTTGTAAGTTTGCATTGAGGTTCAGCCAAAAGAGGGTCTATTGTTACCTATAGTTCAAGAAAAAAAGTTCGACAAAGAGCTTAGTCGAAATCTTTGTAAATTTTGATATCACAAAAATTATTTCTTTCACCTGATAACTGTTCCTTTCTGCGCCAAAAACAAATTTTCGCTTTATTTGAGCTTATTTTGTAATAAATAGCTTTATTTCGGTATAATAGCTGAGCAAAATAAAGCACCGAAAAAAGACATTTTTTCATAATACGAAATAATTTAATTTCACTCGCAATATCGAATTTGTAATAATGCGAAATAACCAAACAACATTTGAGTGCATTGGGTAAAACTGAAACTACATTTGGAATTGTTAAAACTGTTTATAGACGTTCTAACATTCATAGACCCTGGTAGATTCAATTGAGCTAAGATACTTAGAACACTTAACGTATTTTTTTTGTAGTGGCATTTGTTTCATGGGGGGTTCACGCTTTGACCAAAAATGCTATTCTCATCATAGAAAAATGCTACTCATAAAGCTTTCATGCAATTCCATAAGTACCCAAAATTGCATGAAAGGTCTTTGACTAGTCTTTTTTCATATATGGGGAAATAGTATGACCAGTATTTTTCCATAAACCACATTTTTTTAAATTTAAACTGTTCTCAAAATTTTTGGGATTGGTTTGTATCCGAACACGAGTGACAAAAATCTTGGTTACTTAGACCTTGAGACACCAAAAGTTTCTGTAACGGTATATAATGGAAACGACCTGAATATGGATGTGTTACACAAACAAGTTTATGTGTGCGTTCAATCTCCGTAAGTTAGTTAAAACGGCTTGGAGAATAAAGTTTAACTCGTGTTCTCAGCATAACAAACATTCCTTGTCGTTAACCCCTGATCAAACCAAAAACTGCTAAAAATCGCATTCATAACTTTTTCGGTCCAAATTTTGCATGATAAATTGGCGCAAGCTAGCCAAAACAACCGGTGATTGTCCTTGAGACAAATTGTTCTTTTTGACGGTTAGACTTAATCAAGGTTGAACCAAATTAAAGCAAAAAAACAGTCTGTATTAAGGTCTGGGTATTCGGGAATCGAACCCGCTCCAACTGGCATGTACATAGTACACTTAGAATAGGCCGCTCAGCCATTAACTCTTATAAGCTGTTACATTTTGTTCCAATCATATTCAAGTTTGTCTTCAGTTTATATGCATTGATACTCTCGCTTACAAGTGTGCTGCAACTTCCTCCGCCCAAACAAGGAAGAACGTGAGCTGGTTTTGCGGTCGGGCGCGTCAGTTCGCTCGTGACTGTTTTAATATCTGCGGATCGCGCGCATCTGTCTTTGACGTAGTGTAATTTGATTATACGAAAAAATGCGTAGCGCCCACGCGAACTGTTGGCTCAACAACCCCAACCAAGACTCCAATTTTCAGAGTGACGTCCGAAGTGTTCTGCCACTTTCACCTTTTTGAGGGAAAGTACATATTTGCGCAACCAGCGTGACCAAATAGCGTTAGCGTACGATTGTGCCCTAGCGTAACACTTCTCATGGTCAAAATTTTCTTCAAAACTCAGCCACGGTAAACTTGCTGTATGTTGACTAAGTATGAATTGAATTGGTGTCAAGGCCTCTAAATTGTTCGGTGTAGAGTTAACGACTCTGATTGGTCTCGCGTTTGATGGCTGCTCAACCAGGCAAAGTGTGGCTCTCAGAATCTCCTCAGTCACTCCCCTGTTGCCTAGGATATCAAATAGCACACGCTTGACACTGCTCACTTACGTTCCCATATCCCGCCGTGATGTCATGCACTTGAAGGGTTAAAGCCCCAATTTGTTCCTTTAAGCGCGAAAACTGCTGCCGCAAGTTTGTTCCAACTCTTAATGCAAGCAACAAGTTCTTTCTGAGCAGAAACAAAAGTTGTGCCGTTGTCGGAAAGAATGGTTGAAGGAGTGCCGCGCCTTGCAATGAATCGCTCGACGACCAAAACGTAGGAGCTTGTTTCGAAGGATTGGACCACTTCGATGTGTACCGCTGGACCACTTCGATGAGTCGTGAAGCAAGTGAAAAAAAAACTCTTATTTTTTTAAAATTTTTTCCGCAACTACGAACGGGCCGAAGTATTCAACACCCGTATTGCAGAAAGGGGCTTGCTTGTAAACCAACCTTTTATACGGCATACTAGGCATAATAGGGCCGCCGGTTTCAGCTTTTCGACTTTCGGCATGTCAAACAATTGTTTTCAATTTTTCGGAGCAACCAACGAAGCTTCAGAACGGTGAGTTTCAATTTTACAATCGCACGCATATAATACAAAACCTGATGGAAATGCTTAATGTGCAAATGCCCTATCATCAACCAAACCAAATGGAGGCATGCCTTTAGTATTTTTGGATGCTTAATATCGTATTCGTTATCAACCAAACGACTGATGCGCACAGTCGAGCGGAGAACTCCAACTGGGCCAATGGACGGTGATCACTTGGCAATTCTGCTGCTTTTCGTAACGGCTTTATCAGGATAAAGCAACCTCATGTCGGTAGTAAACGATTCGGACTGTGTCAGATATATAAGCTTTTGCTCTGCTATATCCAACTCAACGGAGTCGGTTATCTCGATGGTAAATTGCGCAGAAGTGTCTGTGCGAGGACAGCAGACGCAACAAAATGCCACGGCAGGTTTGTAATTAACAATTGAGTTCATTTTGTCCCAGTTTGGAAGGCCAATCATTAGTTCTCAGTATACTCGGTCCATTAACCGAGCTAATTTCCTTGAGGGCTTCCGAAGAAATTCCTCATGTACCGGTATCAGCTGGGTTTTCCCCACCTAGTGTATGATGCCATTGGCATCAATTGCATTATATACGAGGTGGGGAAAACCCAGCTGATACCGTTACCCGAGGGATTTTTTTTGAAGCCCTCAAGGAAAGCAGCTTGGTTAATGGACCGAATATACTGAAAACTACTGATTGGCCTTTCAAACTTGGACAAAAAAAACTCAATTGTTAAATACAAATGCAAATCAAATTGAAGAAGACTTTTTTGAGCGTTTTCGATGAAACTTAATGAGAAAAACAGAAAATTATTTCAATTTTGTGTATCCAGGATTACGTTATGCACACAAAAGTTAAATTTAACTTGAAAATAAAAGTCACTTTGCTGTTGAAAAACGTTTTAAGACAATAGAGCAAAATCCTGATAAAAAAAATACAACAGAAACATTTTCGGGGTATCTTCGGGGTCATCAGAATTCAGTGTTTTTTATTTCAGTGTTTGACGATAATCCAATTTTTATGCCACAGCAAAAAAATGCTCATGAAATTAATTTGCACTGGTAGTATAAAATTGTTATGATTTGAATTTTTTTTGGCGTTGTTCACTTTTCAGCTTTGATTAGAGCTCCATTTAAAACTTCTTTAAGAAAAAAAATTTACCAAGAAAATAAAAATTGAATAATTTCTCTGGTTGACCAAAACCAGAGGAACAATGCACTCAAAAAACAAATCCAAATTGTCGAAAATTTGACTTGATTTCTATTATTATCTAAATAACTGCCAGTCTTCAAAAAAATAAACAATTTAGTTTCAACCAGAAAATCTTCGTAAAAACCTGCAGTTTGTTTTTAGTTAAGCTTAACTTTTTTAGTTTTCCGCGCATTATCAGGTACTACAAAAACGCATCCAAGTTTGTCGTAAAACACTTTGCATTTAAGCTTTTTCAGCCGTAATTTGAACTAAACTGGAAAATTTTCAAAAATTACTCTTATGTTCAGAAAAAAAAACTTTTTGAAATATTTGAGTTTCAGTTTGATTTCAATCTCGTGAAGCGATCGAGTAATGTTTGTTTTTTGAAAAGGGTTAATCAAAGAGAAATAACTGTTGTAGCAAAAAATAGCTTCATTTAGTGCTTTATTGGCAAGTCATTTAGTGCTTTATTGAGTTTCACAAAAGATTTCGGTAAAATTGTGCAAATAAGTTATTTAAAATTTAGAATGTTTTTGACTTTTTTGCAATTTTTTAATTTTCATTTCTTTTTAGGGCAAAAAATGACAGGTTTTTGATTTTCTCTTTTTCTACTTACGCGTTGCCTAAATCTTTCATCACACAGCGCACAAAAAATCGACACTCATTTGAAAAACAAATCTTTTTTTTGTAATTTTTTTAAATGTTGTCGGAACATTCTGCGCTACTTGCACTGCACACCGGCTTATCATGTTTTTTTTTAAAATTTCAATCATCTTTTTCTTTGGCTTTTTATCAAGCACATTAATGCTGGATTCTAAATGTTCATAGCTCAGACTAAAAGAAAAAATGGATTTTGAGAAAATTGCTTTAACCAACCGAAACAAAGTTTTTCCACTTAAAGTAGATTTATATTGTTTAGAGCTTTTAGTGTATAAAAAATTTTGCATATCATTATTGGCCTACAGGATCTGTAAGGTTTTCGCAATAAAGCCTAAGTTCTCTTGTTTTCGGGGAAAATTTTTTCATCTGAAAAATTTCTGGTCACACAATGAAATTCAATTGTTTGACTAGCATTTCTGGTGTATAAGGCTTACTTGGGTAACCAAAAAACCTATTTTCACTAGAAGTTTAAAATATTTAAGTCAAATTTTAAAAGGAATTACAGAAAAAGGTCTGTTTTTTTTTCAGAAAATATAAGTAGAAACAACTTCTATCAAGGAGGGTCGTCCACCTAAGTCCGCCCCACATAAGTAGTAGGAAACCCACCTTTTTTGCTGATCGGTCATGCTTTAGAATTTTTCAATTTTGTTTCTGTTTAACAGGAAAATAATCCCAGCTCCTAAAATTTCTTCCCATTTCGCTTGAACGGACGGGACGGGGCAGTCCTATTCCTTCCGCTATATCCTCAAAATATTAGCCAATCAGAATTGGCTAATTTGACACATTCCGTATTTACATTTTATGGAGTGAAATTTTACTGGAGTAGTTTCCATAAGCAATCAACAAAAATATTTTTCAATTTGACTTTTCGCCGAGTGGATTTCTGATATAAAATTGAAACCGGACAAATCATTGATTATCAAAATCTTTTTTATCTCATTATTGCATATAACTTATATCAGACACGACGTAACAGATTACAAAAATTAGCATAATTGTTTGTTAACTCAAATCATTTTTGCAGCAGAACCATTGTAGTTTTTGCTGTAAATTTGTTAAATAAAACAGAATATTCGATCACAACTGTCAGAATAAACGTATAATATAAAAGAATTAATAATGATTGTAATAACTCACCTAGTTAAGTTACTTTATTAACTAGAAAACAACCAAGATCATTTCTAAAGAAATTAGCAATTTTGATCGATTCGATCGATGAATTAAAAAAAACAATCCGCGTCAAAGCAATTTATTACGCTGAAAAATCAGATTTTATCTATTCTTTGTTGATTTTATCCGCCAAATTGGCAGCCAGTATCTAATAATTGCATCAAATATTATTTGTTTATTTGACTTATTTGAGAATTTTTCAATATTGGAACTTTTCAAAAACTCGCAGTCATGGAAATTATTTTGAAGCCAGCGGTTGTTTATTTTGGACTCATGGTCATCCAGAATTTTTTCATCAAATCGCAAGCAGATGAATCAAGTAAGTTCCAAAGAAACTGTTTTTTTTTTCAATATTTCTAAGGGTAGATTTTTTGCACAAAGCATAAACAAGGAACAAAGCATAAAACCCTTTTAAAAAATATCTGAACATTCGATTGTAGAAAAGACGAACTCTCTTCAGCTATTCTTCGTTTTTTGCTTTTTTTGCGTTTTTTTTTCATAAGATGCGGTTTTTGATCACATCCTGATGACAAGGAATCGGACAATGGATCAAATTGGCAGTCTTGGTTGAGTACTAGATAAATCGTCTAATTTTTTCTCTTTTTTTTCTTTTTTTTTTGGCAATTGTCTTACAGCCATCATAGTATTGTGCATCGTTTCTGATGGTTGTCGCCGCTTTTGTTTGTGTAGAAAGTTCATTTTTATTGGTTATAGTATAAGTTTTAACTATAAGTTATTTTCTGTAATGATGATATTTTATTTCAGTTGCCTTCTCCTCCCAGTTTGAGCAGGGCTCCACTTGGCTCCCCTTCCACATGACCGGCAGATCTGACAAGGGGGTAAGTCTAGTAACGTGTTAAATCCCGAGTCACTCAATCTCACTAAATCACTCGTTTTACCATCAGTGCGACGTTTTGTTCTGACTTTCGAAGAAAAAGACTGAAAACAACTTAAAATGTGTTTTTTTTTATCTGATAAAATGTGTCTTTTTAATTAACAACTTTTGACAATATTTCTTATTTAACATCATAACATCACTGTGTAACATATTTAACAAACTAAACTAAATTAACTTTTTTTACACTAAATGTTGATGCCCAGCTTAAAATTTATTGAAAATGAGATTTTAATTTACCAAAGAGTAAGGTAACAATCCTCATGCAATTCTCAGCCCAAAAAGTAAGCAAAATAGATACATTTATTTCTTAAGCTACAACGGCGGTTTTCATAAAGAGCTGAACAACTAGTTTTTTCATCATTTCGCTCGTAGTTAAAAGATCTTAATAATGGTTTCACATACTCAACTTGAGTTCGACCATAAAAATGTACCTCGAAATCTGAAAATACACAAAATGAAACCCCCTTTTTCAATCTCTGTTCAAAACACAACAGCAAAGCTTCCCATAAGATCAAGGTACCTTGGAAAATTGGTATTGTTTAGTAATTCATTTCATATTAATGCCGGCACGCAGCTCCGTTTGAAGTTTTTTGCGCCGTCTTACGGCAAGTTTTTTAACCAAAAGCAGCATTTGACTGTCCGTTAAATTGAATGAATCGACTCTGAAGGTGATATAATTCCCTTCTTTCTTTTTTTCAAAAAAGCGCTTAGAAGTATTCTTTCTATATAATTTTACCGCATTCATATTTTTCGATATTAATTTTTGTCAATAATTTTTCTTAAATCAGATTAACAGATTGTAAAATCAAATACAAAAGTGTCGCATTTTTTAGGAAAAGCTTAAAAATGGTTTTGTTTGTAAATTAGTATTTTTAAATTTTTCAATCTTTTCTTACTGTCTTAATTTGGCGTGTTTTTCAATTGATTAATATAATCTTTTTCCAGCTTAACTGTTTTTCAGATTTATTTTCAGATTTCCAACGCCTGTCTAGACAATTAAAAAGCCAACTTTGTGTCAAAAAAGAGCTGCTTTTTGTATAACCAAGCACCTGTCAAATTAAAGGTATGCTTATTAGAAAAGAAAAAGATTTTTTATTTTTTCAACGTTGGGTTAAAATTGGGATCATCATAGCCGATGATTAGTAGCGTAAAAAATTGGCTGTTTTTTTGAAAAAAATTACTGAATTTTTTTTCAGTTTTTCAGTAAAATAAATATCGTAGGCTTAATGTTTTTTATCGTTATCACTTTAAAACTTTAAAATAAAATGTCTCTGAAAATGATTTTGTCTTCATTTTTTCTCATTCCAATTGGGTTTCTAGGGCCAAGAAAAAAATGAATTGGCCTTTTTAACTGATGTGTTTTTTGTGGCTCTATCGTCAAAATTTTCATGCCAACTTTGTTTTCGCGTCAAATATTTATTATTCATAGATTAAGAAGAATTAAAAATCACAATATACCGTCAAGTTATAAACGGTCGGCTTGTTTTACTCGGACAGCGCTTTTAAAAGCTCTTAGTTGGTCTTTTATGTTTTACTGATTACCAAAAAATTTGTGAAGTTTAATTAGTCAAACAAGGGCGGCGAAAAAATTTAACGAAAAAAGTGTTGAGCATTGACCAGTGATTAATTTTAAAAACGAATCTTCAATTTATTACACAGTTTTCAAGTATCGCCTGAAACAAGTCTATAAAAACTGGCTAATTTTAATTTTTTTTGCTTTCTTTGTGAGGTTTTTGCTTAATGTCTGGACTATTTGAATATGGATTGTAAAAGTTTGGAAAAAAAAACAGAATACGTAGGTTTTGTTGTCGTTTTCTTGATTTTCCTGTTTGAAACTTCGCTTTTTTAATGAACCAAAAAGAATGCAAATTTTATCATAAATGCAAAATTTTCATATTTACAGCTTGAAAGTCAGGTTTTTTTTGTTCATGTTTCATGATCGAAAGTTAACCATGCATACAAAAAAACTCCATCAGAAAAAGAATTTTGATTATAATTGATACTTTTTGACTGACATTTGTATTTCTCAGACTAATTTCACAAATTGTTTCTTAGACACAATTCTTTTGTTATCCATCCGTGTCGATATCTTATTTTTCCATGCCTCTCAATTGATTGAAAAATAATGATCACTCACAATTATACATACAAAATGCCCCCAAGGCTTTTTCCATTTTCGAAAATGAAGTGAAGAAGTCCTTCTTTGTTTTCGTTATCTGTCAATGATTTGCACAAAAATATTGGACTTAGCCCATTCACTACGCAACAAAACATTGACTAATGTCTCAGAATTCGCGTTGGGGGAAAAAACCTTAAGGCAGGCCACCTTAACAAATGTCAGTTAACATTGAACCCTTTTGTGTGGTTTTCAACTCCTTTGTACTTCGAAATATGTTGGAAAAAAGGTCGAATTATGTTGATAAAAGAAATTAAGCTAATGATATTACCACGTGTTGACATTTTCAGCCTCAAAATGAAGTCGAAACAAAGAAGTAAAGTCATTGATTAACTATACTTTTTATAATTTTCTCCCTAAATCTCCCTTGAAAGTACTCCAATTGAAAATATATGAGTTCGATTCATTTTCGCTCAAATTAACTTTTGGCCCTGAAGCACAGTCAGAAAAAGTTTGCCAAGGTCCGGTCGTAAAAAAACTACAATCTTTCAAAAAATTGATGCAGCCGGTGTTTTCTGTCCATTAATAGTTTGAAAAATTCTGCAATAGTATGAAACGAATATTGGAAACCGACCTGTAGGTCATTGAATTGGAAGTTATGCAAAATTTAGCTTCTAAAAGTCATCCAAAAAGGCCCTGTCGGGACTCGAACTCGGGTGGTTAGGTTGCTAATCGTTTGTTTTTTTTTGTTTAGTTTGAAGCTGTAACGACTGGCGACAACAAAGGGTTCAAAGTGTGTGACGTAGAAAAAATGAAAGATCCTCAAAATCTGCTCATTTCTCGTTTCATCCAGCCTCAAGATTCAGTCGAACGAATCATGCTTGACATTCAGTGAGTTTTTAAGAGGCAAAATCGGGAGACAAGAGGGGAGCGCGACTTCTTTACTATCCCCCCCCCCCCCGCCTCCAGCCTCAGTTATATCCGATTCTCTTAATTTCGTGTAGCTATATTTCAGAGTTTTCAGTTGCCAATTCAAGAAAAGTATTGCGATGACTTTTTAATCAGATAAGAATTTCACTTTGAAAAATTGTGAAAATTGTGAGAGCGTTTTATCGAAGAAGTGTTCACTTTAGATCGAAAGTCAATTGTTCTCGACTTTTTGCCTGGAATAATTGTGAAAGACAGAACTCTGTGACCTTCTTTATTATTTAGACCTCTTTTGTTTCGGTATAAAATCGAGCTGGAGAGTAAATCTATCACCTGAACAGCGAATATACTCGCTTGCATAAATTGTATCACTAATTAATATCGATCCCTTTGCTTATAAGCACAGCTGTCTTAGCTTTGCTCAAAAAGATATAAATCAAAATTTGTCACAGCGCGAAAATTACTCTTCCTTGTAGATAATCAAATTTAAGCCAAAATCAAAACAGAGCTCTTCTGTGATCGGAAATCTACAACACGTTTTGTGGTCAGCCTAGAGCAACCATTTAACTTGATATTGAAACCTATTAAAACACTATACATAAACTCTTGCTGTATAAATTTGACTTCTGCATTGAATTCTGCATTGAATTGCAACTCCAGTTTGGGTTCGATGGTAAAATTTAGGCAAATTTTTGGAAAATAAACGCAAAGTTGACCCGAAATTGACTAACTTTTCGAAGCGCGTGGGTGACAAAAAGTTTCAAAAAACATGTAAATAATAGTTTTTCTTGGCACTTACAAGTCGAGAAGTCGCAAGTTTGAGGTTTGTTTGGTCAAAATACACGTTTTTGATCGCCTCGAAAGGTGTTCTGCTTAATCAAGATTCATGTACTAGACTCGATGGCTTTAAACACGTCAAACAAAAGTCCGAAATCAAAATAAGTTTTCATATATATCAAGAAACCTGTTTTCATGATATTAAACAACTTCGTTCCAATGAAATCATGTTTGTTTTCCTTTGTTTTAATATCGGTTCTTTAGGAACGCTCATAATTTCAAAAACCTGCATAATTTCTTTGCAAAATCCAAATAAATTTATGGCGTTTCCCATTTTTCTTAAAAATTTTTTGATTCCGGAAAATAATTTTTACGGTCTACGCTTGCGTGATTAGGCGTTTGAATTACGCAACTTTTGCAGATGGAACAAATATTCTGATCACACGGATCGATATCATTACCTGTTCCGAACTTCCGGTAGAATCAATCAAATAGACTGCATTTCATTTGCAAATGCAGTTCGACTAGCTAAATAAACTTGAAAAATTGTTTGACTGTTTGCAAATGTAGTCAATAGTTCTTTTGAATTTTACCGCCAAACAATGTGTTAACAGTTCAAATCATACAAGGGTAATCAAATATCTGGGTTATCCATTTTTCATTTTCCTCCTCTGCGTTCCCAAAAAAAAACCAGTTCAGAAACAATACATATAAATCAAATTTCACAACAATTTTAAACTACAAGAGCAATATATATTTTAAGAAATGATATGAAAAATAATACGCCGGGACGCACAAATAATTTCTGTTTCAAAAGAATGGTTGGTTGAGCTTTCAATATCTATTTTCAGGAGAAAAAATCTTGAGCCTGGGATTTTTGAAAGTGAAGTCAATTCTTTCAATTAAATCGCCCAGCCGAATCATTCCAAAGGATCTCTTCTCTTCAGTATTCTGAAATTAGTCAGTTTATTGAAAAAACCGTCTTCTTAATAACAATTTATTTTTAATGAGCTACAAATAAACTTTTATCTCAAGGATAAAGTACGCTAAAGTTATAAAATTTTACTTAGAAACAAAATTGTATGTTTTGTAATCGTTTCACTTGAGGTTTTTGTGGAAAAAAAGCAGAAAGTAAAAAACTAAACGAAAATGTAAACATGTTTTTTTGTTTTAGATATACGCTAGAGGGCGACAAAAAGAATTCAAATTTGAAAGTGGGAATTGTCGAAACTAATCAGCCAATGAACTTCAACCAGTACGCGGACACAGCTTTCAACACCATAAAAAACAGTTTCGGCTCAAACTGGTTGCCTCTATCCGATTATCTGGAGCTAGAGCTGACCAAGGGTCAATCTGGGTTTCACATTGCATTTCTGGATTTGGGTGCCTGTTTGAGTTTGCAGTCAATGCAAATTAAGTACTTATTCTGCCCCGATATGAAAGCAAACTTGACCCACTTCGAGAGAACCACAGTTTTGTAAGTTGTCGTTGGTCTTCTAAGCTTCAATTTTTGGCATGCTTTTTCAAAACGATTGCAGGAAAACTGTTTAAAAATTACATTTTCAACAGTTGCAAAGTATTGACAAAAAGTCTGCAAAAAACATTCTAAAAAAACTTTGTATGCTCAAAATTTTTGTATTTGCCATATGTTAAACACGACTTGGAAACCCTCGATTTGAGAAGTTCACATAAAAGTAGAACGTTTGCTAAATTATATATAAAAGTCTATTTAATTTGGCGATAATGAACAAAGGATGGTCTAATTTTAGTGTGCAGCCCGTGCAAGGGCGGTGTGTGCAGAACGCGAAGGCGGAGAGCTTTCCCGAGAACAACTGCAAGAGTAGCGGACTGTGGCGCAAGGCCACTCCCGACGGAGACTGCAAGTGCGACCCTGGATTCGAACCAGACCTCGGCTTCCAGAGTTGCCTCAGTATGTTTTATATTTTTCATTCTTTCCTTTTTTCTACAAACATTTTTGTTCAAAATTTTTTCTTTTTCTCGGAAAATTTTTTGTTATTTATTTCTGCTGTAAGAATCATTTTTGCAAGATTCAGCTAAAGGTCAAATCAAAACACTCAAAATCAATAGAATTATTCTGCAAATCTTGACGTTGGTGTATATCAAGGTTGAAACTGAGAACGGGATCTAAAACACGCCACAATTCTTCTCAGAAGAAGTCCTGATATTTGTTTAATGTGATCCATACCTTGGGTCAGCATTTCTATCAAAACATCAATTGCTTCTTACAAACACATTTTCCCACTCTCCTTCTGGTTAGCCTTAATCCGTGGAATACAGTGGGATTAGTTAGTAGAATCGTAAAATGCTACTTTTAGGAATTAATTTGACTTTGATTGTTCGGTAAACGAAAATTGTGTAAGCAAAAGTCAAGCTCAAAATTTGACATGGATTTAAAGACTTATGAACATTTTTTTTCAAGGGTTTTCACTGACTTTTCAAAGAAATGAATCAAAACTTTCAAAATCACCTGGAAAAAATTGCGAGAAAGTTTTTACAGTTGAAATTTTCCAATTCGATTTTCCATTTGAGCTTAATTTTTTTTTAATATTCTGAAAAGAAACAATACTATCTAAAATCTGATGATGAAGGGCACTTAATAATTGACACTTATTGAGATATTAGAACCGGCTATTACTTAATGATTAGTATTTCAATGGTTTAATAATATGCATAAGTGAGCGATATTTATTTATAAGGGGATTTTCTCTAAAATTTGCATACGATGAAATAGTCTGCAAAAAGCGATTGCATGGTCAGATAGAAAAAGATCTGAATTGGAATTGCAAAAAATGTGTTTGATTGACATTTCAAAATTGGGGAAAAATATGCGATAAAATTGATTCTAAGCAGGTGAACACATTTAGGTCGGACTTTTTGTCGATTTTTATCAAATTTTCACAGTAATCTGTTTTTCCACTCAAGGTATTCACAAAAGTTAAATGGCATCGGAAAAATACACTCAATAGCTCTGAATTTACCCAGTTTTCCTTAAGTTTGTTGGTTATCACCTGATTATCTGCTTTTCAGGCAGAATTTCTTTTCTTTGGGAAGAAAAGACTCTCATTCAATGCAAAATATATTAGATTTTATCTATTTTTTTTTCCGAAAAGAAACAGGAATTCAGACAAACTTCCTAATTTTAGGAGCCCAGATAGTGTGTATTATTTGCCCAAATGTCAATTAGTCTATTTTTTAAAACACAAAATGATGTTTTTATTTTACAAAAATAGCCCTTTTGTCCCGCTGTTATCGATTTGGTCTTGCAAAATATAGTAAAATAGGGAAAAGTGAGAATTTTTGTCTAATTGATTCTTTCAGAATGAAGACGAACTGACTGCCGTCTATCAAACAATACAACCACCCACAAAAGAAAAAACTATACAAGGGTTTTAAAATATGCAAAGCTATTTAATGAAAAAAAAATTGCGAAGCTTTTGATTTGAAACGTTGACCTGATAGTTGCAGAACTTTATTCTAGAAACATGTTTCAAAATATTCAAAAACATATATATTTTACTTTTTTTAAACTATTTGTTGGTCTATTCATAACCTGAATTTTTTCAGTGCATGACTTTTTTCACTTGTGTGACCTGCAGGACATGACTTTCAGGTGTATGGTCTTTTCTTCACGTGAATGAACCTTTTTTATTTATGATCTTTTTCACGTGTATGACCTATGCTCACTTGTATGACCTTTTTGGACTTTATTTCACGTGTAAGGTCTTTTTTTAACGTGAATTTAACTTTTTTTATACATCTATGACCTTTTTCATGTACATGACCTTTTCTCACGCGTATGACTTTTTTCTCTTTTATTTCACGTGTATTGCATATTTATGGCTTTTATTTCACGTGTATGGCCTTTATTGCATATGTATGGCTTTTATTTCACGTGTATGGCCTTTACTTCATGTGTATGGCCTTTATTGCACATGTATGGCTTTTATTTCTCGTATATGGTCTTTACTTCATGAGTATGGCCTTTCTTTCATTTGTATGGCTTATTTTTAACATGTATGGCTTTGTTCAGAGTGTCCCGAGGACTACTACAAGGTAGAGAGTGGAAACGAGAGATGCAAGAGGTGTCCCTCCAATTCAGACAGACAGCCATACATGTACAACAGAATGGACACTGTGGCCACTAAATGTGACTGCAAAACTAACTACTTTAGACAGCAGGACGAGACTGTGCACACCCCATGCACAACTGTGCCCAGCAAACCACTGTTAGTTAGATGATTAATTATTAGTTATGAGTCAATTAAATCAATCAACTTAGTTCTAACTTCACCAATTAGTGTAATTGGTAAAATTCAACATTTATTTTTACAAAAAAGAGTAATAATTTAAAATCTTGTAAGCAGATTGAGAAAAATGTTGGGCAGAAATTTTCGGAAAAAAAGGAAAAGTTACTAAAAAAGTCAGATGTTAGGCTAGTTGAGTCGCGCTAGTTAATTTTTCTACAAAGAAAAGTAAAAAGGGCTTGTTTTTTTTAAAAAAAAAAACGATTTTGTTACCCATAATAGAGAAATTACTCGATCTTAACATTCGGTGTCCCAAATCAATCAAAAAACAGCCGATTTTTATATACTGTTTTGAGTACATCATTTGGAATATTCAAGTGCTGAAATCTACATTCAAGTTTACACACGTCAGACGGAAATTTCCATCTTTCAATCAACAATAAATTTGTCCCCATCAATATATAATTACCTCTCTTAGCTATTGTAACTTTCTAGAAACATCTAAAGAATTAAATGATTAATCACATGACTTTCAGTCTAAGTTCAGATTTTTTTTTCTGCTTTTGTGAGGCGGGTTGTTGAATTTTAAATAACCCCGAACAAAGAAAAAATTTTCACATCTGCTTCAGAAATTCAAAAAAACGTGTCTTCTGGCCCTTACTGGCTGAAAATTTCGCTCAATTTTGTTCATTTAACTCGCTGAATTATTAAGACCACCTGCTAAATAGACCTGCATATAAAACTGTAGTTGGCTTCATTAAAAAGTCCATTTGAATTCATTCGAAACTCATAAATGCATTTACTCATTGATGAAAAATCCAAATTGACTGTTCATTATTTTCGATAGTTTTTGTCGATTAATTTTTAATTACGGACTCAAGATTTTTTGAATTGCCTGAGACGTGACAGTAATTGCCTGCTGATTTGCCACTTGGTCCATTTTTGAGGCGGGTGTTGGAAAAAATTGGACAAAACGACAATAAATTTTGAGATTGCTATTACTTTTTGACTAGCTGGTAATACAATGGCTTACAAGACTAATCGGTAATTTTCTTTGATAAACGAAGTGCTTTCTATTTCTTGATTGACATTCAGTGCAATTATAACTTAAACTTTTTAGTTTAAAATCTATCAAGTGGTCAAGAGACATGTTAAACTTTTGAGGTTCAGCATAACTGATGTTCAGTTCTTGTTCTTAACAATCCAGCTCTGTTTATCGGTTAAGAATATGATGAGGCGTTGACTAAATCGTTCATTAGAAACAAGTTCTTAGTTTCAAAAATCGATTAAAAAAACATTTAACATGGTGCGGCATTTCGACATCATTGGGATTCGAACCGCCAGCCTTCGTTTTCTTAACTTAAAAAAGATTTAAGGTCAATATCAAGATTATGTTGTTGCTGCTTACTTAGGGAAAATTAAACAGGTTTCAACTAGACAAAAATAAAGTTACTAAGATTGTTTTATTTTGTAGGGATCTTCGAGTGGAAGTAAAGTACACTAGCTTTGCATTGTCGTGGCGTCGACCAAGCTACAACGGAGGACGATCCGACATGTTCTACGAAGTCTCTATCTGTCCTGTAGTCGTTTCGGGAAGCTCCTCGGGCGTCGCCGTGGCCACCTTGGATTCCGACTGTGAGCCGACTCTTCTCCGTAATGACGTCACAGTGTTCTCGGCTACTGGGTTTCTCTCGGAGCGGAGGTACTCTATTCGGGTGTGCGCTAAAAATGGAGTAAGTTCTCAAATGAGGGCAGATGAAGCGGAGAGAAAAAGTTGCGAACTGTACGCAGAAACAACAGGAAAAGAACGTAAGTGTACCTACTTTTTTCAGTCTTTTAACCGTTTTATCGGGGAGTTAATTTATTTTTAAACTAAAAGTTTAGTCGTTAAAAAGTTTTCCGACACCCTAAAACCCCGTCTCTCGTAATCTCTCAATGGGTAAAATTCACCGCGATAAAACATAATAAAGATCTTCAGATACATTCGAGAGTTTTAGAATAGTTTTTTATTCAAAATTAAAAAAAAATTATAAATTTCGCAGCGCACTTAAACTCAATTCTCCTAATATTGACTCTAAAATATGCCAATGTCAGATTAGAAGAAATCACTAGTCGATGAGCAAATAAAATCATCTCACTTCGTGTGACCAAGCAAGGCAAATGGCTGCCACATGTATGAAATGTAAATATTTCATGCCTATTTTTCCCGACTGAAATTAAGGGAAATGGGCCATTTAGGGTGACGTATGTTGACAAGCTAATTGTGAATCGATTTTGAACCCACTTGACAACAATTCCCAGTTCAACTTGAGGTGAAAAGTAGCAGAGCCGAGGGCCTCACAAGCCGAAAATTTTATTATACTGCCAAATAAGCGAGTTTTAAGCATTTTTAAAATGAAAAATTGAAATAGTATCAAATTTATTGTAAAAAAAAACAAAAGCTATATGTGCTCAAAATAAGTTTATGGTAATGTGTCGGCTAAATTAGTAGGTGCCCAAGATTAGGTTAATTGGCGGGTTGGAAAGTCAAATTGGACGTGACTGAAATTGAAAGAATGAAAAATGTTACGACCATAATTCACTCTGACATTGGAAGGGTTTGAAATCCTTTTCTTGGTTAGACAAAACACTACACATTGTGTAATAGGCTGTTATTAGGGAAAAATTCTGGGTTGAATTGTAATTTAATTAGATCTTTTTCTGAAAAATTTCAAGTGCAAGAAATTTGTTTGCAACATGAATAATTTTTAAAACCAGGCCGAATGGAAAGAAAAACTTTTTAAAATTTTCACGCCTGAAACGTCAAGGAAACTTGAAAAACCATTAAAAAAATATGCAGTTATTTTTTTCGTTAAATAGAGTCAAAAATGGGTGAATTTGATGTTAATGGAGTCCCAACGATTTATATCTAATTTATTATATCTCGAGAAAGTAAAAAATGCCCCACCCCTTAGGATTTCTTCCTCCTGGCCACCAAAAGGGTCCCCCTTCGGTACTATTTTAGGACATCCTTTTTGCAGACTGATACTAAAATTTTTCCAAAGGCGCTTTCCAAAACCTTTCAAAAAGTGCCCAAAAAAATTTTTAAGCGGCGCAGAAAATTTGATCAAAATAGGATCTCTGTTGAGATTTAGGAGAGCTTGGAAGGTCAACTTGATCAAAAGTTTCTTGAAAATCCCACCTCGAGAAAATCTTAGATCAGTCTGTGCTCACTATTTTGAGATATCCATTTTTGGCTGACTGACCCTAAAATTTTTCTAAATGCGCGTTTCGCGCCAACATATACTAATTTTGAGCGAGCTCGCGCCGAAAAAAAAAACCATTTTTTGGTCAAAATTTTGCAAAAGTGCTAAAAAAAAATTTTTTTTGTTGGCATGTTTTTTCAAAAAATTACAATACGGCCTAAAAAAATACAATTTTTCGATAAAATTTCGAAAATTTTTGAAAATCCGCCCCCCTACCCTGGAGAAAACCTTAGATCCGCCCTGCTCAATTGGCTCATGTTTTTGTTTGAATTTTTCAATGTTTCTATCTGGATTAAGTATCATACCAAATTTAGATTATAAGATTTATTAAACGATTTTGTTGCAGTCTACAAAATTTCAGTAATGTCATAGCTGTATCTCATTCAAAACAATAATATGCTGCTAAGTCATTTAGAATATCTAAGTAGAATGATGCGATTAATATCATCGACGAACCATGAAAGAATGGTATTAAGATCAGAAGACAGACAACTATACGCCATGGGTTTCTGCTTCGCGGTCAGACTTAAGAAAAAACAATCAATCTACAAATGTTTTTTGCCGCCTTTTTAAACTTTAATATCAGATTTTTCAAAGTGAATCTTTATTTTCGAACGTTGGCAATCATGTTGTATTAATTATTTAATAAAAATCCCTTAATTTTCAGCTGTTTTGTGTGTCTATTGACTTGTGACGGAAGGAAAAAAGGGCAGCCAAAAAAAGTTATTGAGGCCAAGGGGTAGCTACAGACAAAGGACAATTAAAATCAAAGGTTTTGTAAGCAATCCCCCTAGTCTAATGCAAAAGAATGATTTTATTACAAAGTTTAATATTCGTATATGTTTAGACGTTGGATACTTCAGGAAGGGCATCTGTTACTAGAGTTTATAGACATCATAGGAGGAGAGGGAGGGAGTTGTGTACAAGATTCAAAATCAAAAGAATCTGCAATTTTTGGTTGCATGATAATCTATTCTGTACCAATCTACTCAATGTCAAGTTGTCCTTTAATATAATTAGGATCGAAAACTTCAATAGGGTCAAATAATGGCATTGGGTAAAATGACTTGCAAACTAACTTTCCGGATAGATTGTCCTAGAAATTAAATGTTGGATTTCTCAAACTATTTCCCCCCTTTTGCAAGAGGGGTTGGGGGTGGTATTGGTTACTAGGTACAGTATCGCATATGTTTAATTTGTATGTTGATTTATTTCATTCAGGGGTCGCAATTTTTTACTAAAAGGGGGCAATAGTTTAAGAGATCCAAAATTTCTGTTTCAGTGCGAGTTGACAACCTCGAACTTATCCCAGAAAGGGAGACAATCGCGATCCAGTGGGTGGAACCACAAGTGCCAATCGACAACCCAGACTTACTCAACTACTCAATCACAGTCTACTTGGGCGCAGTCGTGTTCAGTCACGTGACCACGACCAAGTGCCGGGCGGCCTTCTCGGGGTTGAGTTCGGGGGAGTACACGTTCTCTGTGGTAGCCAGATATGATGGAATAAAAGGACCCCAGACTAATTTAACCCAGAAAATTCAAGGTCAGCACCCGGCATATTTTATCCGGATCATCACATATACTTTTGTGATATTTTTTTTTCATTTGGCTTTTAAAGGCCTTTTTTAAAGCTTTCGTCTAATATTGTGAAGTTTTGCTTAATATTTCATGAAAATGACCATTTATCATCCAATATATCAGATATCAAAAGCGAACATCCGATGAGGTTCAAGCGAGAAAGTAGCATTGAAATCAATGAGAAAAATCTGTAAAACGCACTAAATGCCTTAAATACTAAAACGCACTGATTTTTTTTGTTTTTGTTTATTTTTGAATTTTTGACGCATTTTTTTTTGTTTTCATAAACTAAGCTCAGTTCTCGTACCGCGTTCGTTGTTTGAATTATACATAGAATAAGTTTCTTTTTGTTCAGGTCTCGGCCCAAACGGACGACAAATGGACTTGTTCTCCTCGCCCGATCCAGGGGTCATGCTCATGATCGGAGTCGTCGTCATCGTCCTGCTAATCCTAGTGACCATCTTCATATCGGCAGTCTGCATCCTCAGACGGAAACACGCAGAGTGGGAGAAGGGGCTGGGGGGAGGGGGTCAGGGACTAATGGGCGGGGCCGCGGGTGTAATGGGGGGACATAGAGGGGCCTTTATGGAGTACGAGACGAGCAAAGCATATCCCTATCTGGGTGAGTTCAATTCTGTAGTTTGAAGTTTTCTAGAAATAATTAGAAAAAAATATTACAAAAAATTTTTCCTCCTGAATTTTTTTTCTATTGAAATGAAATTCAAATTGAATTTTAAGAAAGCATTTTGATTTTTCTGTACATGTATAAATCTCCAACAAAGTTACTTTCAATTTAAGAAACAATATCAGTTTTTAAAAAAATAAAAAGCAAAGAATTTCACTGAAAAGTGTTCTCAATTTTCTTCGGCTCCTGAATTTTGAATTTCCTAAATATCTTTCTTCTACTTGTTTTCATCTACTACACAATATTTTTTGGGGCTAAAATTTACATTTTGATTTTTTAATAAATATTCTAAACAATTTTTCTTGTATTCATTTTTAAACTCAATCGAGTTTTTTCTATTCTGTAGGATACGGTTCTGGAAGTGGGGCTAGTATGCCTTATGACTTCACAGCTGTCCCTGTTGGGCAGACATTCATAGACCCCCACTACTACAATCTGGAGGAGATGATGAATGAGTACACTTCACAAGTTGACCCCCACACCATACACTTGGAGTTACCCCACGACGCAATTGTTCTAGGTGGGCAAATAAATACACTCCTAGTTAATAGTTAACCCCCTTTTTAATACTATTATTATATTTAACTAGTGGCTGAGCTGTTTATTTATACTTCTTTACTTCTATGTATACTCTTTTTGGCTTCATTTGATCTGGGTGAAAACAAAGCTTAAACAATAGCAGGAAAAAGTATTCGTTTTCTGATTCAAATTCCCTTTGACTATTAAGTCGCCTGGCCGATTTGAAGCGATTGTGTTCAAAAGTGTCACAATTAAAAAAGACGCCGCCCATAATCGAAACAGTCTATCGTATCCGTTACTGGAGTGCTTTCCAATCCACCAAAATTGGGGAAAATAATCATCCCAGCTTAAGCCAAGTGTTCTAATTAGTCCCCTTACAATGGGCTAATTGCGTCAATGGGAATACTTATATATGGGGGTAGTATTGTTTCTAAGGGATGGGCTCGTTAGTGATGGAGTACTTTTAAAAGGATACCCGAGGGAATGAAAGCTAACTAATGATTGACGCCTCCGTGACTTTTCTTCATAATTTGAGCTAATTTTTTCAGACAGGAAAATTATGAAGAAAATTTTCAGCTAAGGAAAATAAAAACATGGTGCGAGTTTGCATGGCAATTTTTTTTACCTCGGCATAAAGAAAACATCCCAGTAAAAATTGATTTTTTTTAGAAAAGTTTGTATTTTTTGTTGGTTTCATAACATTAATTTCTTGTTTGCCTTTGAGAAAAAAACACGATTTTGGATAAATTCACGTGAATGATGACTTGAGTATGAACCAACTAAAAATAAAATTGACGCGAAATTGGCTAATTAAATCTCTCTTTCAAGTGATTTTGTCCGCCCTTCTCTCCAATTTTGACCCTTTAACCCTAGGCACCAGGAGAGAAAAAAATCACAAATCAGATAGTAGGAATACAACCAGGAGTACGTGTAAATAAAACAGGTAGATAGACTAATATAGACTAAACGTATAAAATGATAGATTGTGATGATGTTAAGTGAGATAGATAAAGCGTTAATATGCACCCGCGAATAAATACCGGAGCATTGTGTTATGCTCACAAAACAGACCAAAGACACGAACACGCCACACCCAAATTACCTTTTAAAACCCCCCTTCCCCAACTCCTTACCCCTTGAAAACACAGACACTATAGCAGGGCTATTTCCTTCCGTTCTGAGACGGTTATAGCGCCCTTGCCTTTTTGAATCCCAATTTTGCAAAAGATGAAAAATAAAAAATCTCGTATGCATGTGGATATGACTGTTGTTTTTTTTCCACTGGAATAAGTCCAAAATTGAGATTATTCAAATTACCGTGGATGATAAATTTTATTTATAACTCTAATCAATGTTCCGTTAAGTGATTTCAACTTGTGAATTGTACATTGATGTTGGATTTTTTCGAGTTGAGAAAAAATTTAATAAAAAAAAGTTGGAATTAATAACTAGAACATGGCCTCTAGATAAATGAAAAAACTTGTGTTATTTGCCGTTGCAAACTTTTTTTGAGTTTGAAATACTACTCAAAGTGAGTTTTTTTCAAAATAAACATGAAAATATGAGTTTTTTTTTTGAAATTTTAACCTAAGTGAATGATTTGAGTTTTGTATTGAACTTCTCTATTATGATAACAAGCTTTGTGATAAGTAGTACAAAAAAAAGGAAATCCTTTTTTTGACTCTTCAGAAAGCGATTGTTTTTCTTATCAATGAAACATCATACGAACGGGTAGTAGTTCTTCAGAACAGAGGGTGTGTTTTGCTGACATTAAATCAGAGAAAAAAACCGTCCCTTTTCACTTTTGAAGCAAAAAATTGTCCATTTGAAAAGCCTCTCGATATTAACTCCTCACTCTACTTTGAAGAAAAAAGAGTTTCAATAAAGATCCTTAAAATATGAACAGGTTATTAGAATTTAGAGACCGTTTTTAATGAAAAAAGGCAGCGAAAATTCAGAAAAGGTGATTTTTTGAAACATGGTTGAGCAACGAAAATCAACTAAACAAGCAAACAACTAATCTCGGGATTTTAAAGAAGAGAAAAGTCAAGAGAGGAAAGGAAGGAAAAAAGGTTATCCAATTCTTGTGCGTAACAACGCTCGGGAATCGAACTCATTGTCATCTGAGAGCAACTTAACCTATTGGACGGAACTCGTTAGATTTTGTTTTGCATGTTATAGTGTTTTTTTTTTCGTTTTTCTCAATAAAATTGAGCGGAATTATAACTCGGGTTTTCTGTTTCCTGTTAGAAGAGAGGTTTTTCTGTTTTTACAACTTACTTCGAAACACTATTTTGAGAAAAATTTGTACTAGAGATTGACGGTTTATTCGGTTTTGTGAATAGTAATGCCCGGGAATTGAACTCCTGTACCTCTACTTTTCGCTTGACAACTATAAAGACATTTTTTGTTGCAGAGTATGTTGTATCTTTGGTTTATATGACTGTCACTGCCCGGGATTCGAACTCCTGAGCTTTTGCTTTATGTAATTAACTTATTTTTTCTTGTTGCAGAGAGTGGGTTCTTCGGCTGTGCTGGAAGCTACACTTCGACCGACCATTTCCCCTCCAAACATCCCGTTTTTGTGAAGATGTGCAAACAGAAGGAATCGGACCAGTTCAAGGAGCTGTTTTTTATGGAAGCGACAATCCTAGGACAGTTCAACCACCCCAATGTATTACAGCTTCACGGGGTATCACTCAAAAGTTAGTACTTATATCTATTTCGTTAATTATTACTAATTTACTTAGCAGTACTAATCGTAGGCAGCTTTTATGTTAAAAGTGTAGCGTGAATATATTTGGAGAGAAATGGTATTGCAATTTGAGTTAAAACGCAAGCCCCCACCCCTCCCCACCTGTTTGATTTTCACATTTCCTTTTGCTAGTTCTTTTTTTTTCAACTCCTAACAAGTTTTTTATTTTTATTTTTTGAATGACGTTTATTAAATTCATGTGTCGTTACTTGATACCAAATACGTAAATACGTTAATATTTTAATCGTTTAAGTTGTGATAAAAAAGTGAACATTTTTACGATGCAACAATATGCCCACTTCTAAATGAGTATCAAGTTTAAGTCAAGTTTTCAGAAGTGTTCTTGTTATCATTTATAAAGACTCTTTATTAAATTAATATTGTCCAAACCAACTTAATTGGCTAAAAACGCCAGATATTAAAATATCATCACCAAAGACATCGCTGGCTTTTTATGACTATGCTTGTCATTTTATCATCTGTTTTTCAAATTTGACAGTTTAAATTTAATTTTGGAGAGCCCTCGTCAATATTCTGAATCAGTAAAGATGAATGATAAACGCGCTTTGATAACTTCAAATTTGCCTCTTCAAAAAGCTCTTATGGCAAAGAAAATGACAGCGAAAAGAATACGTTTAAACTTTCTCGGCCAATTACCCTTTGAATTCAACTTTAAAGATCAGAAATTCGGAAATCTGACCCGAGAAAAAGTTTTGTTTTGGTCTCATGAATCAAAAGGCTTGACTTGAGACTGAGCACAAATATAAACAAAAAGTTGTCTCTTTTGAAACTATTTTATATTATTAACCAAATTATAGCTAATGAATACCAAGTGAAAGCCTATGCATGTTATTTTTGATTTTTTTTCCACTGAGGTTTAAAAAATTTATACCTTTTTGACTATCAACCCACTTTCCCAGAGATATTCAAATATTCAAATGGGGGGTTAGCATTTTGCTAATGTTTTAATATTCGCGTTACTGTACCGTTCGATTTATCGTTAATAGAAATAAAGAATAAGTATTCCGTTTTTTTTCGAAAGTCGGTACAAAATTTCAAAAGTTTTTCAAATTTAATGAATTTTTTTTCCAGGTGATCCAATGATGATGGTGACTGAACACACCACCGGTACTTTCTCAGACTACCTGGAACTAATATACGCCCACCAAACAGTATCAAACAAACTGGGTGGTGGGGGAGGGGGAGGTGCCGACCAACAGGGGGTCTCTTTCTCTCTACCACCGGGACAGATTGTGCACCAGATGAGGGGTGTGGCTTGCGGTATGCAGTACTTGTCTGAGCTGGGATACGTGCATAAGGTATGCTACGCGCTACTGATACCACCTCTTTCTGCTGCGCATAGCGAAATACTTTTTCGGTCTTACTACTAATTTTGAGCAGGAAATATTTTTTTCGATCAGAAAATTGATGATATTAAAAACGTAGAAAAAAATTTAAAAAAATCTTGCTTAGGAACGAAAAAAGAATTAAATGATTTTGGAAAATTTCGTGTTCGATGTTTAATTCTCACGATGCTTGTTTCAACTAACTTTTTACTGGTATTGTGAGAACTGGCGATCGACCAAACAGTAAAAAGTTTTGAATTTTTTCAATTATAGCTCTCAGCCAGCATCAGGGGCGGATTTAGAGGGCGGGGGTACGCTTTATACTCAGGGATTCGACCCCCTGCCGACCCAAAGGGTCCCCCTCTAAACTACTTTGAGATATCCATTTTTGGTGACGGCCGTAAAATATTTCTAAAGGCGCCTTTGGCGCAATGTATACTAATTTTGAGGCGGGAGCGCGCGCCAAAAAAACGCAATTTTTTGGTCAACATTTTCCAAAAAAAAAAGCCTAAAAACGTCTTTTTTTGGGGCCTGTTTTTTTCAAAATTTTGCCTGCGGCGCAAAAAATCTGGCCAAAACAGGGTCTTTTTGGTGCTTTGGCAGAGCTCGGGAAATCAATTTGGTCGACCTTAAAAAAACAGGTTGACAAAATTTTTATTATTTTTTTGAAAATCCGCCCCCCCCCCTCGAAAAAATCCTAGATCCGCCCCTGGTCAGCATAGCAGCTCAAAATTGTAGCCCACCACACTGGTTTTTGTATTGTAGTGTGCATAATTTGAATGGCGCTACAATTTTCTAGGGTGGTTAGCACTATTACCAAAACAATTTTAAAACGTTTCCTTGTTGCGACGAATAGTTAGAATGGAGTTGTTGTTTTGCAGGTGCTGTGCGCCAAGAATATCCTGGTTTCTCAGAACGAAGTGTGCAAGATTACTGGATTCGACCAGCGCATCCTGCTCGACCAGGAACAGAGCCTATTTGGAGAATCAGGGGTAAGTGTTACGTCACACGACACTGCGATACATTTAGTTCAAAATACGGTCTAGCGAAATTTGGAAGTGAAAATAAGTTATAGCGAAATTGTATTGGACAAGTTACACTTAAAAATATCAAAAATTGCGAAACGAGTTTTGAAAAATCAACCAAAAAAAAGTTTTAGATTTTTGAAGTTTTTGATTTTTAATGAATGCCCAATTTTCGCCTGAGCTTTTGACAGTTCTTTAATACAAGCTAATAGTAATTCATTCAATCATTTTATTATTGTTTACAGTTCGAATTGCCAATCAAATAAAAAAAATTAATTTTTTTATATATATATTTTTTTGATTATCCTTTTCCCCTTTAGGTCAGTGGTGAACTATTGCCGTGGAGTGCGCCCGAAGTGTGTTCCCTGAGGAAGTTCTCCACCCACTCTGACTCGTGGAGTTTCGGAGTCACCCTGTGGGAGATATTCGCATTCCCTCACCAGCAGAGACCCTACTTCGGCAGAACAAATCAAGAGGTCAGTAACCTCTACTTTAGTTTTTCTAAAAATTCCCAAAAAATTGCTGATTGAAGTCAACTCACAAATTGCTCTCGATTATTAGGCTTTGCACAAAAAACTTTGGATCTTGTTAACTATCCCCCCCCCCCATGGTACCTTGTAACGAAAAAGCATTATTTTCTACAATGGTGCCCTCTATAGAAAAATGGAAATTTAGAGAAGATGAAAATAACTTGCCGCCGTAAAGCTACTGTACCGTCAAAAATTCAAAACCTGCGAAATTTATCTATCCGCCAGCTTCCATTCTCAAGTACATCTATCGTCAATTTTATCTTTTTGCATCCTCCTAAAATTCCCTTCGTAACAAATCAAATTTAACGAAGCGCTACTAATTCGTTATCACAAGTTTGTTCTGAAAAAATCAAACGAAAATCGGAACTCTAAAATTGACTTCAATGGATGGAAAATTGTAAAATAGCTGAAAAAAGAAAAAATTCATTATCAGATTTATGACCCAATTGTAAACAGGAAATACTTGTTTTTATCAATTTATTTAGGTTGTAAAATGATCATTTAGATAAGTGCAAAAACAATTTAAATAATTCCAGCATTATTCTATCCCAATCCCTGAGGGTTTTAACAAAAAATTAGATTTTTTAAATTGCCCTAGGCTAGCCGTCTACGTTTTACGATATCACATTGCTTTTAGCAAACCAAAAATACATCCGATATATAAGCATTTAAGCATTTGATTCCCCAAACGACCATTTTTGCAATACTTTTACTGCCTATAGTAACACGATCCCCTTTTGAAAAGCAGAATTGACGCAATTTAATTAATTCAACAATCAATGTGATACATGTGTGGAAAAACAACCCGTTCACACCTTTTTCAAACCGAGAAATGAACAAAAAATTAAAGCATGTCTTTTGTAATGCATTCACACTTGACTTTGATTTTTTCAACAAGCCGCTTTCTGTTTCACATTGGATCAATATTCCAAATGGGTCCTAGGAGGCAAAAAGGTCCTCAAGTTGGTTAACGCCTTTTTACCTACAGAAAATCAATTTTTAAAATTTAGCTCCTTTTTAAGTAATTCGGTCAAATTGATCCCCGGAATTTATTTTCCCAACTCAAATTAAGACCGGTGGAAGGAAAGAACATCAATGCCTTGATAAATCACCTACAGGGCTCTTAATTTACTTTCAAGAGAGAAAAAAAGAAAAGCTAACTTTTGAACTTTTAAGAGTAAAAAATCAAAACTTGATTTTACTCAGAGGAAGTAAATAAACTTGCGGTAAAAAATAGAAAATGAAGGGCAATTAATTAGAGTTTTTCTTTGATAGACTAAATTTCGGCAATAACTAAACATATGCACCTTTTTTCCTACTTATTGAAAGCAAAACAAAAATTGAAAGTATAGAAAAAGACTTAAGAGAGTCTGTCTCCGGGGAAACTTAAAACAAGTTTTTTGAACACCTTAATTATCAAAATTTTGTTTAAAAAACAGCTCCGCTTCACCCTAGCCTTCAGAGAAGGTCGGTGAGGTTCAAAAACGAAAAAGAAAACTTAAAGATCACCTCCCTAAGTTAGCAAACTAGCAAATTAGCTCAAAAAAAGGGTTTGAAATTTTTGAGCTGTAGGAGTAGGACGTTCATTTTTCAATGGAGACACATTTTTAAAGAACCTAATGATTTTATTTTTTTATTTATTGCAAAAAAATCGAATTTTTTAACTTAATTTTATTTCTTCTCTTTTTAGATAATTAGACTAATTGAGAGTGGGTACCGACTGCCCGCCCCTGGAAACTGCCCACTGATTCTATACGAACTGATGAAGGCTTGCTGGTGTGACGAGAGGAATAAGAGACCAGATTTCGCCCTGATCCAAGAACAGATGCATCATATGATTAGGAGACAAGATTTGCTACAAGAGACAGTCGCTGCTGCTAACATGAAGTGAGTTCGAAACCCTTTCTGTTCGAAATCGTTCTATTCATGATCAATTTATAAAAACAAGTACGCCTTTAAAACAAACATAGCATCAAATTTGGCCTAAACATTTTCAAAAGTAATTTCCGCTTTGGCTCGCTATCAAAAAATATTCAAATATCATGCGTATTTCTCACTATTTCAGGTCAGCGAACTCCAATTTGAGCCCTCATAACCTTCAGAACAACCCTTCGAGTGGATTAAACATGAGCACACTAGCTTCAACCAACTACTTCACCCTTCCCCCCTCGTCTACTAGCGGGTCACTCCCCATCACCACCTCCGACTGGCTCATGTCAATCAAACTCCCCCAGTACTCGGAACTATTCGCAAAAAACAATATAATTACCACCGAGGATATTTTAATGTCAGTCGACGCTTCAGTTCTTGAGCAGATGGGAGTGAGTTCGACAAAACATAGAAAGAAAATGATGGATGCGATTTCGAAATTGAAAAAACAACAACACTGTGCCAATAATATTTCGACAACTTCAAGTAGCAGTCTAACAAAGCAGAATATTGACTTGGCGAATAATCCACAAAACTGCATATCTTTGCAAACATCGCCAGTTTTCTCGGAAATATAAAACTATTTTGTATGAGTAATTTTTCTAAATGTTATTTCTGATATGTGATAGAAATTTAGACACAAACCAATCCTTAATTGAATGTTTTTTTATTTTTTTCTTTAAAAATCAAATTTTGTGCAAGGATTTTTCTAGCAGATGCAATTGTTTTGTCCGAAGCAGTTTTTTCGGATAAATGATTCCAAAAAATGCATTAAAAAACGCATTTTCTCAGATTTTTTTTCTGCCGCGCATAAATTTTTCTCTAAAAATAACTTTTTGAAACAAACTTTTGTATGATATAAATGTTTATACCATCATCACGCGAAGTTATGGAGCTTTAGTTACAAACTGACTGACTTTCATAGACATTGACTCGGGGTTTTTTTAGTCCCGCCTTTGATTTTTCTGAAGTTCGATTTTTTCAAAGTCAACTTAGAATACTTAAATGCAAAATGCCGTGTGAACAGTTTTTGAACAGCTTTTTTGTGATTTTACAAGGCGTTGGGCAACTGGAAAAGAGCAGATTCTCGAGTTCGTAAATTTGAAGTCAGAAATCTGCTTGAAGCGAGCGACATATGGGTAAAAACTAGGCGCAGCTAAGTTCGGCTTTTGATTAGCGGTCGTTTATAAAATCAAAGAAATTCTCGGATTTTGATGACAAAAATTCAGCCATGGTTGCTTTGGATTTCATCGAAAAGCGCGTATTCGACTTAGCTTCAATTTTCACAAAATTCTGATGCTTCCACAACTTTTTTCATCATTTCTCGGGTTACAAACATGGCTATAACCTGGTTACAAACAGGCGCTTTGGTTACAAGCTGAGTGACTTTCACAGACTTTAACTCTCTAAGTTTTAAGTTTGCAAGACCTTAAGAGAACTTTAAAAATGCGATGAAATTAAAAATAAGTTGCAATCAAGCGACAAACGGGTAAAAAAAATCTAATTAGCAAGCATAACGGGTAAATAAAATCTGATTAGCAAGCAATTATTTACAATCAATGGAATCTTCAGATTTTGATGACATAAATTCAGCCTAAGCTGCTTTGTGTTTCATCGACGAGTGAGTTTTTTACGTAGCTGCAATTCGAGAAAAAGCTACTGGATTCCGCTATTTGCTTCATGAATTCTCAGGTTACTACATTAGCTACAGCCTGGTTGCAAACGGATGCTTTGGTTACAAACTGTCTGACTATCATAGATTTCGACTCTCGTGTTTGTAAGCTGAACGACCTCAACAATCTTTTGTAAAGGCGGCGAAGATAAGAGTCAATTAAATCAAGCAAAAACTGGGTAATCATTAGGTCCTAAGCTTGGTTTTGATTCAGCTATATAGAATCAGAGAAACTTTCGAATTTTAATAAAATTATTTCAGCCTGGGTTATTTTTGATTTCATCAACAAGCGGGTTTTTGACGTAGCAGTGGTTTCGAAAAATTTCTACTAAATTCAGCAGATTTCTTCGTCATTTCTCGGTTTTCAAAATTGGCTGCAGAAAACTGCAAACTGGCTGACTTCCATTGATATTGACTCTGAATTTTTTAAAATGTGAGCGAGATTAACTGATGAAAAAAAGGACAAAAGTGTGAACGAGATTAACAATTTGAAACCAGAAATTTTTTACACTGAGCAATATTTGGGTAAGCACAAAACACTGAGTTTGCTTTCCGTAAGTAATCAATTATACAGAATCAAGTGAATTTTCAACTTTTAGAGATGAAAAATCCAGCAAGATTGTTTTGAATTTCATTGACAAACGCGTTTTGACGTAGCAGCAGTTTCGGCAAATTATTACTTTTTTTCGTTGATAACCGGAGTTTTCTGTGGATTCCGCTTTCAGTGTTTGGATTTCAGATTCTTAAAATTTTCTTCTCAAACGTTTTATGATTTTAAAATTTTTCATTTGAAATTGATTTTTTTTGAGAGGGGTTGACATATTTCCATTAATTGTTCAATCGTTTCTAACTTTGTTTTGATTTTGGTGTTGCCAACCCTAATGATTTTTAATGACGGGTAGCACAATTTTTTTTGCGTGGTCACTAAACCCAGCTGGGTGTCATAAGCTTAGAATTGATCTTTCTATCTAATTCATGTCCTTTTTGACATTTTGGATAAGATTTTTTGGTTAAAAAAATCCTTTTTTTAAAAAAATTTTGAAAAAATTTCACAATTCAAATTTTTTGTTCGAAAAATCTGTCTCCAATTTGTTGAAAAAAAAGTCCCTAACTTTCAGTTTTTGGAAAGTTATGAAGAAGTTTGTTTTTGCGAATATGCCCAACTTGGTATAATTATTTGAAGCAAGCGCTCTCCATTTCCTCCTTTTTTTGTCCCTATGGATGTGTTAGTTTTTGAGAACCCCATTGCTCCTGCACATTTGGAGATGAATGTTTCCAAATGAAATTAATTGAATTCTTTTTTAAAAGTTATGATGCTTTAATATAGTCTAATACAATCGAAAAAATAAAAAATGAGCTATTCTAATCTCTGAGTTCTTTACTGTTTTCCAAGTTGATCCAGAGAATTAGTATACTCTCTGATAAAAAATTACGGATAATTACAAATAAAACCGCTTAAAAATACAAATTATTGAGCTATGTTCGGACAGCAAACTACGCAGTCAATTTGAAAATACGAAAAAAGTTATGTTTCAGTGATCATTGTCGATTTATCCGAATGATTTCATGAAGTTTTAGAGTATTCAAGTGAAATTCAAAAAAGTCTTTGATATTATACAGTTTTTCCATAAGATGCACCGAAAATCTTTTTTAAAAAAGAGCGTTAAGAACTAATTGCGCGTTTGTGTATAACTCATGTCTAGAAATACTAAAACTTCCAATCAAAAAATTCGGAAAAAACCACCATTGACTGCTAAAACTATTTTTTTTTCAAAATGGTCGTATTTTTTTTTCAAAATGGTTGTCATTTGTTGCTTGACCTTGAAGAAGTAATTTGAGCTTGGTAGTGTTATTAGTAAAAAAATCAGAACGGCCATGTTACATTTTTTTTTGCTTTTCAATTTTTCGACGGATCTTTTTTATCGCTATTCTGAATATTTATAAAATACAATCCACGTTATACAGTATAAAAATTTTCGATTAGTTTCGTTCATATATGAAATAGAGAAAACACATTTGATATATTTTTTTAATCTGTACCTAGTATCGGGGGCAGTATTTCTTTTTCATGATGCTTAATTTACAGATAGCCTGCGGTGCTAATTAAGAATCAAATTAACGCTTTCTGAAAATATAGTAAAGGCAAACCAAAAAGTTCATGATGTATGGCCAGGAAAAAAAGCACTCTAAATTAAGGCCTGTTCTAGACAAGTTGATATGGATTTTTACATCGAAACTTTAATCACAATTTTTATGAAGAAAACCATTGAAATTCAAATGAAATTAATAAACTCAAATTGCTCTGATTCAACCAGGCTGATTATTTTTGATGGTAAAAACATTTCTCTGGAGGCTAATGAGGGAAAACTCCTACATACCAGTTATTTTCCTGGCAGGCAAATTTTCCTGGCAGGCAAATTTTCCTGGCAGGCAAATTTTCCTCTATAGAAAAACCTATAAGGAAAACACTGTTTTCCTCGGTAGAAAAACATGCTTCCTTGCATTAGATATGTAAAAGTTATTCATTCGTTAATTGGATATTGATATAAACTAGCCCACTTTTGCTAATGATCACTAGCCGAAAGTTGTTTTGAAAAAAGTTTTTCAGAAAAGTCTTCCGCACCTAACAATTTATCGTCGCGTAAAACATAATCTATTGTCGCATCCAGGTGCCAATCTAGGATTTTCTCGAAGGGAGGGGGCGTATTTTCAAAAAAAGTTTTGAAAATTTTGACCTTTTTGTTTTTGAAAAAACAGGTCAAAAAAGCTGTTTTTGGGCACTTTTTGGAAAGTTTTGACCAAAAAAAATTGCGTTTTTTTTTGGCGCGCGCTCCCCCTCAAAGTTAGTATATATTGGCGCCAAAGGCGCCGTTAGATAAATTTTAGGGTCGGTCGGCCAAAAATTGATTTCCTAAAAAGTACCAAAGGAGGGACCCTATGGGTCGGCAGGGGGCCGAATCCCTGAGGGGGAGGAGCGTCCGCCAACCCGCCCCCGCCCCCTGTTTTTGGCCTTTTTTGGAACATTCTTACCAAAAAAATAGCGTTTTTTTGCGCGCTCAATTTTTCAAAAATTTGTATAAATTGGCGCCAAAGGCGCTTTTAGAAAAAAAAGTTTAGGGTTGTTTGGCCTAAAATGGATGTGGGGGCATTTGTTTGGTGAGAGAGTCGAATCCCTCAGAGGAAGCCCCCCCCCTAAATATCCCTTGGTCTTGGACTAGTTTTTGCATTTATAATATCCTATCTGAAATGAAACAGCAAGTGCGAATTATTAAAGTGTAGTAAAACACTCCGCCGTCAAAAATCTTTTTTAATTGAAATTAGGAAACTTTTTGGTCAAAATAATTCACCATAAGACTCAATTTTAACACTAACTATTTAATATTGGCTGTTGGATGAGGAAAAACAGAGTTCCGGATTCATACCTTAAAAATACTCTGTAAGATCCTCATTTTTAATTCATTTGTTTGTTAGAAGTTGATTTTTTCCAGTAACTTTTACTCATATTATAACAATTATTCAAATCAAATTGTAACAATTATTTATAACAGAATGAACCAATTAATTATAACAATTATTTATTACAGAGTGAACCAATATCTCACTAAGTATCAATTATTTCACAATTGTCAGTTTGGGCTCAGATCAAAAAGGAGTAGAAATGATGCTTTGATAACCCTAATAGAAGAAGTGCGTCAAGATTGGAACTCTAATACCATGAAGACACAGTGCACATTCATTGACCTTAAGAAAACCTTTGATACAGTTGACCACATTCTTTTACCGGAGAAGTGTGACGCATATGGTTTTCGGGGACTTGATTTGGACCTTCTGAAATTTTATTTAAAAAACCTACAACAATAGGTTGCCACTAAAACCAAACGCTCTCAAACTAAAAATGTGAATTATGGAGTACCACAGGGATCCATACTAGGCCCGCTTCTTTTCATCATTTGTATAAATGATATTTAGATAAATGAAAATAGTGAAAGTAATCGGATTTT